GGGAAGACTGGCTGAAAATTGTCTAGTACGGTAGGATCCAGGGAGGGTTTCTTGAGGAGGGGGTGCATCAACACCTTTTTAAAGGCAGATGGAAACACTCCCTCCCGCAAGAATTCAAAGGAGCTTGCTCCCTGGGAAGCCATTTAGGACTGTTGTCAAACTTTCGTGTGTGTCTGTGTGTTAGTACACCATCATACCATAACATGATTTTTGCATGATATTAAAACTGTAAGAAAACCTTTTAAAAATGGACTATATTTAAAACATGATTACGGTATGATAAATGGTAACTTTTGCCTTTCAACATGGGAAGGGCATGAGATAAAGTAGTAGAAGAGCTACAATTCTCAGCATCCTTCAATACTGGCCACGCTAGTTGGAACAACTGGGAATTGATGTTCAGGAACATCTCATAGGCTACAGGTTGCTGACTTTGATTTAGCCTGTTAATTTTGTTGAAATGAGTTAATATAAAATCAGGAAAGAAACATGGAGGAAAGGCTATTCACAGAAGGAGTTTGGCCAATGTTATCACAAATACCTGGGTAGTAAAAACAAAGCCACCAGATGTTGGTGGTAAATGCCTGCAAATCTTTATGCAATAATTGTGTGTGTGTGCCTTCAAGTCAGTCTTGACTGCCTGGAGAAGTCCCTGCGGTTTTCTTGTCAATTTTTTTCAGAAGTGGTTTGCCATTGCCTTCTTATTCCTAGAGCTGAGAGAGAGTGACTGGCCCAAGGTCACCCAGCTGGCTTTGTCTCTAAGGCAGGACTAGAACTCACATCTCCTGGTTTCTAGCCTGGTACCTTAATCACTACACCAAACTGAACACTAGATATGCAATAATTAGTGTACAATATATACAGTTATTATAAATACATGGAACAGATGATGCCAGTGACTACTTTTACTCACAGCATCATAGCCCTGGAAAGCTGCAACAAGATTTGCATTCAGTTTGAAGGAATGTCCTATTGATTTTATTCAGAAGGATGATTGGATAATGTGATGCATAACTGTTTTAGAAAGGAAAAATGTATATATTGGAATTAAGCAGGATCACTGATTGGTCCAATATAGGTTTGCCGTGGTAGATGAAATGAAAACTGGATATCATGCCTGTAAAAATGGCATTCTGCAGATGGCACAAAACTGAGATGAGATGGGGAAAAAAATAGAAGATGAGGTTAAAAATCACATATAATGTGGG